ACTTTAGCGCTCATCATTGTGACCTAAATTTGAAGTAGAGTAAATTAGAAAGATAATCTGACCTTACTGTACTACACTACTTCGAGTTTGTGCCCCTAAAACGGCGTGAGAGTCGTTCAAATCGTCACGAACTTCGCCGCGCAATTTGCCGCGCGCATCCTCAGACGCACGTAAGTCCCGTCCCTCCTTTGCGTGTGTCAAGTTTTTTGGATGTGTATGTTGTCCGTGATATAGGACCGAGTGAACTCGCTGAATGAAGTGATAAGCAGAAATTTCGATCGCTGTTGGGTTGTGTGTGTAGACTGATTCTGACATAATCACAACTCGGTATAGTGTCTTGCTCTTAAACTCATGCATGTGAAGCTTCTTCGCAAAAAAATGGGGGCCTTTTCGTCGTCTCCGGAGTAGTTTCAGGATCAGGTCAAGTTTTTAAAATGCTTCATTTTCAACAGTGACCCTTTTCTTTCCAACATTGTTCCGCTCTTCGGCACATCCTATGAGAAATAGCATGGTTCACTTGAACTGGTCGACGCCATCGACGCCGAGCTCCTCGGTAGAAACCGTCACTAAATAGGCATGTGTGGTGGAAAGGGATCCCTGAAAGTCATTGAGTAACAATTGTTGTTAGCGATGATCTTCTGTCTCCTATTTCTAACTATTTTCGATTACTATATCCAGCTTAATTGTTACTCATTTCAAAGCCACTTGCTCATATTGTACACTGAGGAATGCTCCTGTACTCCACCCCACATGTGTGGGTGGTAACACTAAGCGATCAACCGACAGCTTGACAGCAACATATTAGAATCTTTTTGAGTGGAGATGACTTCAATAGATTGCGTAAAAGGCTGGAATGCAGTGATTTTGCTGACTCTGAAAGATCAAGCTGCTCAGTTGACAGCTTCGTTTTGATGATAGATTCTCCATTTCATCCGTGTCCAGGCTTGAACCTCCCGCCGCCTTCGTATTCACTCCTTTCAAGGAATGGGTCTCCCAAAGCATTCGGAAGGCTAACAGTCAGTCATCAGGTTCAGAGAGAGCACTTTGTTTTCAAGGTTTCATCCGCGCTGATGGCTCTCCACGGTCAGCGTGTGTGCCGCGCGCGGCATGCGCCATGTACGACGCCACAACGCGCTGTTTGGACGAACGCCGTCAGTATCACAGCTGCGGCTCAGCTTGTCCCATCAGTTGTGCAACTCGGAACGCACCGAGGTAGGCTACTGCTTTTCCAGTTAATAATATGACTGCAGAGTAACTTCTCTTACAGATGCCAAGAAAGTTGCGTATCCGGCTGCTTCTGTCGCATACCTTACGTGCTCGAGAATGGCAACGATCCCCTTCATTCAAGGTGTGTTCATATTTTGGGGCATGGAGATATGCAGTAAGCAAAATTAAAAAGGAAACAAGCATAATTACATTAAGAGCTCCAATGAGTTGCGATTAGTTTTGTTATTTATAAAGTTACACAGTAGTCAATGATAGAATCAGGCAGATTATTAATTATCCCTACAGTTATTTACAACGCTGGGTTAATTAAGTCGATATTCGTACAAGTTGCTATAATCACTTATTGGTTAGAAGTTGCAAATGTGGTAGAAAAATCGTACATCAATGGTGATGATTGTCGCGTTTATACTTCAATTAAGATGCATACTACCTTCACAGTGTCCGCTCATCAATCCCACAATACGGCAAAGCCCACTGTTACCGGCCATTTCTCCTGTGCAAAATAAGGTACGTTTTTCAGCATCACTCCTGCGAATTATTCTATTTTCGTACAGTTCAGTTCTGCTTTAGAAAGTGTCGTAGCTTTCTGGTAGTGTGCTCTTTATCGCCCTTCGAAAAGCCAAGACCACTTAAGGACATGGGCAGGGTCACATAGTACACTAAGCGAATCTATCCCTTGTAACTGCATTCTGAGTCCAGTTATTACTTTTCTTTTTCAACCCTAAAACTTCCTCCCCCGAAAGATTATTGTATTGGTGCAGTAAGATGCACTACTCAAAGGTATTGGCACTTTCCATCCAAAACTCAGTAGATATGCAAGAATCGCTTTCAATCTCAGCCTGAACCACTGCCTCTGTGCTTAATGAACGAGTACGGCAAATCGGGTCAATCAGTTCGCAGCACCGTGGTTCACGAGCCTTTGTCTCCGGCATTCCAACCCAAAGCACACTCTGTGGCGCTCTGCGACTCCATATCTTTGTTAGCTGCTGTTAATCTACAGTCTGTTCTTTCTACAGAAAACACTAATCGAGTTCTATCCGACTCCCGGTGCGGCCACGGTGCTACCAGATACAAATCACTGCAGTGACCCATTGAAAAACTACCTCAACTGCGGAACGAAGTGTCCTGGTAGGTTTCTCGCGTGAGGAGGATTGTATATATTGTACAAGCGTTTCGCTGACTACGAAGGGCATTTAGAGCTGTATAAACTCATCAATTTCGAAGAAGATACTCCCATTATAATTTCGATTCATTATTTTCCAGTTGGATGCAACGATCTCAATCCTTCAACCACCTGCAGCCTTGCTTGTGTGTCTGGTTGTTTCTGCCGATCTCCCTACATTCTTTTAGATGCAAAGGTTCGAAGCCATTGGAATGATCTTTTCTGAATACAATGGCTGCCTGTTCAGGATCCCCAATCTAGTTGCGTACTACCGCTGCACTGCCCGCGCACCACGTCACCCACCGGTACCTGTGCTGATCCTAGAAAAGAGTGGACTAGTTGTGGAGCGCTAAGGCTAGTTGTCTTTTTCAATTTTCTTGGTGCTGGCTGCAGTCAAACGGGAACGCTCAAAGATCCCATGAGATTTCTTCCGCTTCAGATGCGCTCGATCGTGCACGAATCCTCTAGGACGATGTGAAGCCGGCTTATGCTCGGCCGGATGTGTTTGTCGGGAGCCATATGTGCTTCAGGTGAGGCCTTCTCTTCATTTCCACTCATTTCATTTTACTGAATAATTTTCCTCGAATTTCAGAGCAGAAGCAAATTCCATTCATAATTTTCCCTGCTTAGAAGTGAAGCTCTCCCTCTCAAAGAATCAAAATGTTTATGTCATCCTTATTCCCTTACTTGGTTATACCTTAAGGTTTTTTCCTTANTCACGGTATTCAAAAGCGCATTGACGACTTGCTCTATTTCACTTTAACAAACTCTGGGTGGCATAGGATCTTTTCATTCTCGTTGATCTCAGTTAACATCTTTTTTGGCTATCACACGCAAGCCGTGCAGCCGCCCAATAGTCTGTGAAACAGGCTTTGTGAGCTTTCATCTTTCATAATATGCATGATTAACGTCAACCCATTATTCGCTTCTTACAGTCTGGTCGAATTTTAATTATTTCTAACGATTTTGATTATTTTTGATGACAAACTGTTTATTATCACGGCACCCGAGTGTTCTTGAAACGTTATTATGGGTTTTGCTTTTAACTCTGCTCTTCTAATTTTCCACTCGGCTGCTGGGTGCCTTTAATATCTCCTTTGCATTTATCTTCGTTTACTTTTCTCAGTTCTCAGACTACCAGGGGCTTTATTATGATTTTAGCATCGCCCAACCTCGCATGGAATCCCTCCTACCGTGAACAGTTGTCGCATTCCCCTTCAACGAAGTTTAACCCTTTTCCGGTCCTCCAAAGATGACTGGGATAGAGTCATGAATTCTTAACTTCAATCTCTATCTGCCCTGAACCATTCATTCATCGGGAAGTTGGCGTTTGACCTTTCTGCGCATGATATATTATCAGTGCCTTGGATTCATCACAGAGCAACCCTTCGGACTACCTCCAACATTCCCGGCGATTTTTCTATTGTGGCTCAGTCTGTCAAGGTGCACATTTCGCTTACAGATAGCTTTTCTGTTGTTAGTCTCAACTCAGCTTTTCCCCAATTTGGAAATCCTGAATTGGACCTGCGAACTTTCGTTATATGCATCATTCAAGATTCAGAGAACTCGCACCGCTGGTCTTGGGCGCAGCTCGTCTTTATAGCCTCTTTTATTTCATCAACGTAGACCTACTTATATCTACTACTCGTCCTCACCCATTCTCGTCAGCCACTAGGGTTTTCAGAGCCAAGCTCTAAAGTTTGCCATTATCATCGGTCACAGCGATGGCAACGTGATGATTCGCATACCGTGATGACGCATACCCTCTAAATTTTGATTTAGGCTCACCCATCATGAATTTGACTCAGCTTCACAAGTGACACCTCATGTGACTGAGTGACCCCCACTTTAGTGACTTCATACCTCAAATACAACCGCAATAGGAAATATAGGTGGCCACTCCGTTTCACTAGCAGTGTAAGTAATTACGAATTTTTGGGATGTTGCTAGAACTTACTAATGGAGAGGCAATTTTGATTTCAGTATTTTTTGGTGTTACTCCTCCAGAAGCTTAGAAATGAATTCATACAACTCAACACCACCTTTCAAGAGCTGGTGCGACTGCGGTAGTAATCAATTCCTGTTTTTAAAAATATTACAAAGCATTTATTTCTATTGTGAAAATGGATTTTCATAAGGGGATGCTCCTTTTCAAAGAGCTATGAATTCGCAGTTGGTTGTTGGCGGAGGTAGTGTGGTGGCAAGTGGCACACTATCTCACACGCATGGTCCCGGGTTCAAATACCAGCTCGACAACCGCCTAGGTCAACCACGACTTTCATGATTCCGGGGTATGTTAATTGGTACCAGACTCGTCTTGGAAGATAAAGGCACTGACTTGTACATCGGCTGACCACCGCAAGTCATTGTAAAAGCCACATACGCACTCAATACGACACTACGATTCTGAATGGAAGTTGAATGCCGAGGCGAATCCTTTTAACGGAATGATTAACGCCCAAAGAGTGATCCGTTACCTTTCACCGCACAAAGGGATGCCTGAAACAAAAAGTTTATCTCCACCGAAGATTGAATTTCATCAGTTTTGATTCTCAGATTTTCGAGACTTTCCCTGCTGAGATCTTAACGAATTTTTGACAACTCACCTCCGCTTACTCTTCCAACTTTTTTGCGTTAAATCACATATTATGCAATCGGGTGAGGCTGACCTTTGAGATCGCTTGAGAACCACATCGGTTTGGATGCAGTTCTCAAGCGGTTGTAATTCATAAGTTTTCATTCATATGCAGTTTTTGAAAACTGCTTGTGTCTGTTGTCTTACACGGACGTGACATCTACCCAGCAATTTCAACGTTTTTAGCCAGCTGCTGATATTCAGATCCAACTTGATCAACAGAAGCACTAGAGTCAATGTCGAATATGTTTTGCTCCGTTCGATCTAAATCGCGAATTTCCTTGGAACTTTCCTGTAGCAGCCACTATTATTGTAGACAGGATGCTTTTTTCTTGCAAAATAGAAAGCATCAATAACTTACAGCCATCCCTGCCCTGTCTTAGTAGAACCTGCACTAATTAGTCGAGGACGTTCTGTGACTGAAGGCTCACATTATACTACCAGTTTGGCTATGCACGCTAATGCGCGCAGTATATGTCGACGGCCACTTATTGACGATGGAGTCATTCAGCGGAATGTTAGATAATCAGAATAAGATAGTTCTCTCTAGATTCGAACGCTGAACTGCTGAGAGCATCACGCTCGATATATTTGAGCAGAGTTATTAGTGGTTGATCATAGCTCCGTCCACCCTAGTGCAAACCCTTCCCACGGTAAACTTGACCACCCTTCTTTTGTCTGCTCTGAACCATTTTTTCCGCATTCCAAAAAGTTTTTAAAGAGATGAATTTTTGGTCTTAGCCCCGCTTTCCTGTGCATGCTCCGCCCACTTCGGGGAATACATTTGTTCCATTACCTCTATCCACTTTTTTCCCGTATTCTAGGACGTTTCTGAACAAAGATCTCTTGATCTAAGCCCCGCCCACTTTGACGCCAACCCCGCATACTTCGGGAATTCGGCCACATTTGTTCCATTACCTCTTACCACTTTTTTCCTGCAATCTAGAACGTTTCTGAACAGAGTTATGAAATTTTGTTTTAA